AGTGATGACAACATTCTTCCAAAACGTTCTTTCAGTATCTCTGTCGCGGAATCATAGTTCTGGTCACTTAAAAACGAAATGAAATGGCAGCTAAAGCATTACTGCTAAATAAGGATTTTAGGTATGCAGATTTTTCAGTTTTTCTCAGTCCACTGTTATTGTGAAATGTATTTTTGAACTGGTTCCAAACGTCCAACCATTTACATGAATCTCCATAATAAGTTTCTGTTTTGCAAACATGGTAACTTCACTGCTTTCATTACATATGTAAGTGCAACATTCACTGTTTCATTCTAATGAATTGTTATTGTAGAAGATTCCAAATTCTTTTTCAAAAATTGTTGCATTCTTCCTCTCCATATAACAGTTTAACCCCGGTATTTTTGATTTAGCTTAACTTCGTTTTCAGTCTTCAAAGTTAATTTCATTTTAGTGTCGGTATCTAAAATTTTCAGTTCGTTGATTTTTCTCAATTAGCTGTTCATACAAATCCTTGATTGTTTCAATTTTTTTATGTAGTGGAATATTATTTGCTAAATTGGTTTCAGCTTTAACTGATTGTTTCTTTTTCAAATTTTCAAAATGTTCAGTCTGTTGATTATTACAGTTCATAATATTCCCAGGAAGGAAACACCATAAACATAATATATGTATAAGTCTGTAATAAATCAGACTTCATCGAATTTAAAGTAATAAATGCAGAGCATTATTCAACACAGTGTTTATTGATAAATTACTACATATACACAATAAATGACATCACAGTTTCTTTTTACAAACAAACACTACCATCATCTATTGGCAATCTGAGGATATATAAACTAATATTTAACAAGTATTACATTAGCAGAATTTGTATCGTGGCTTTTTTTTTATGCTTGGATCCTGTAACTTCGAAAATACTCCACTTCATGCAGTCCCAAATGTGAGTCATTTTTTCAAATTATGAGGAAAAGCTCTTTATATACAAAAATTAATCTGACTTATTGAAAATTAATTAAATTTGCATTAAACCAAAATGAATTTCCTATGGTTGTGTTGTGACACAATGTGTATCCATTATTGATATTAATCACACTATTTGGCAGCAATGTATAACATTACAAATCTTTCATTTACTAAATTTTGCGGGGCAAAAAATGTTTCTAAAATTTTCTGGTAACTTGAGCATTTCAGTTAGTTGAATGCCATATAGTCAAGTTTCTACTCTGTTGATCCTGAGTACAAAATTTATTATAAGAAATTCTTAAACTGAGTTCCAGTTACTCCTGGAGGTCCATAGAGGTCCATAATTTAATAATCAAGCATCTGCAGTTTTGAAAAATAAAATTTAATTCATCAAAATTAGTATGACAAATAAAATTTAGCATGAAAAATATAACAAATGTATCATGCAAGTAAGTTAATCATTGAAGGTTTAGCAAATAATTGCACGTCATATGAAAGTGTAGTCAAATGTAAAGCTTTAAGAATCACCAATTTATAGTGTGTTCAACTTTATTTACTTACTTATTGTTTGTATTATCTGTGTTTTCGTTTGAAGCATGAAATTAGCCTTTAGATCTTAAAAGTGATTCTCTTCTGTAAGTAGCAGTTATTGCTACAGTCATTGGTATGCAAGTTACTTTTAGTTAAAAATAATTTGATAAATCCATTGCTGACAGTATAAAATTTTGTAAAGTATAAATATCTCTTTATAATGTGATTTTAAATATTTAAAAGGCGTATTATAAAGCAAATACAATTTAATTTGTGTAAAATCTAAGCAAAAATTCAGATAAATGAACATTAGCTACTGAATTTGAATTTGATTTCATGCTTTGAAACACTTTTACCATTGTAGAGTTCCTCACTCTTATTATACTAAATGGGTCTTGAGAAACCCAGTGAACTGTTAGCAAATGATCTCTGAATTTAAATAACTAAAGTTGTAGACTCAAGAAGGGTTAACTACCCTTTATTTCACAGAAATCTAAGATGAAAAGTTGGCCTCTTCCTCGGGCTTGCAACAAAGCCTCCACTTGGGCTTAAATTCGGAATAAGAAATAAGAACTTATCTAGAACTGAGAGACTTAGTCAAAGCTAACACAATATTTAATGTAGTAGGCCATTAATTTAAACTTGCCGGCAAATATCAAAACGCACATAATAAATGGGCGAGCGTAACAGCTTCAAGAGAGATTTAGCCCAAAGGCAAACACACGCTACTCAAGATGCGTAGCTTACGAAGCAAGTTAAACTTTCTTTAACCCTTTCCAGCATGCTACCTTTTAAAGTCTGAGTTTTGATTTAAAAAAAAAAAAAAAAAAAAGGTAGGCAATCTAATTAAGCCTAGAGGAGTACACAAGTAAAATTTTGTGAAGATAGCACTTATCGTTTTAATTCCGTGGGTGTGCCCAAAGGGGCGCACTGATTGAATAGAGCTTTTAAAAGAGTGCTGGAAGGAGCATTGTTGTCAATGAACTGACTGATGAGATGCGAAAAACCAAAGAATACAGACTCTCAGTTGTCCTAGATTATCGGTGAGTCCGGTCTGGGCACACCTAGGGTTCACCATTTGATTTTAGGCAAGATTTCAAGGTAAAAATTTAAAACTAATATAGTATAAGGAGATTAGCATACAGCCAAAAAAATAACATAGAAATTTCTTTTCAAACAATTCCTTTTATATCCTAAAAAAAATCTGGAAGATTTTGAAAAATGAGGGTCTTAAAAAACTAAACATGGCTAAAATATATGGACTGGTTTGTGTTGAGCTGCCATCTACTATAAATAAAGAAGGTTCAGAGTAACTTATAGTAATCTATAAATCCTTTTCATTCAGTTTTTCTGTACGTACAGAAGGAAATTTTTAGGTGTGTCCAGACCGGACAAACTGTGCCACAAAGGGTTACCACTTTGTCTGCTGCGTGCATTTGACGTGGTTTGCCCAATGATGCAAACTTGAAATTTTTATTATGCGATGTATATTATGTTGAAATATTATCTACGGAAGATAGTGTGAGCTATACAATCGTGCTTAATGCATTTTTTGTGCTGGAGTCGCCAGACCCTTTTTACGATTTATAATTTAAATTTTTACAATTTATTTTTCAAACCATTATAGTAACAATGGTACTATTTAAAAATTTATCAGTATCAATATTTACTCTAATTATGTATTTTACTTTTGGTCGCATTGCCGGTGGCACCCACGGCGCTTTAGCCGAGTGCCGACACCGGTGACCCCCACGGCAGTCAATGTGTTAATATATTACGTCTAACTTATTTGCATTCAACGTGATTCTGGAAACTCATTCTGGTAGGGAGTTGTAAGTGGAAAACAAAATTGATAGGAAAGCACTTAAAATTAAAATAACTGTTATAAAATTAAAATATACTGTATACCATAAATGAAAAATTTTATTTGGGAATGAAAGAATAATAATTTCTCCACTGGCCGTTTTTTGTTTATTTCTATATTTATTTGAAAACTTAAAATACAAGCATAGAAAATTATTGTGTAGCAGTTGAGAAGATTTTTATAATTTGAAATATGTTTGTATAAATTTGATTTTACTTAAATACATTGGTCTGCTGTTATGCTTTAATCCTTTGAGGCACACTATACGTTAACGTCGGAATTTCAGCAAACAAAAGTTGTATGCAGTCTATTTAGTTCTAAAGGAGTATACAGGTAAAATTTTGTAAAAATTGCACTTACTGTTTTAATTCTATGGGTGTTCCATGAGGTGGAACACTGCACCGCCAGAGCTTTTAAAAGTGCGACTAACCGAGCATTGCAGTGAAGCACGAAAATGAGTAGAAGCATTTGTATAAGAATGAAAAAAAAAACTGTATTATGGCAGTATACATGGTTTCCTGGATATACACAATATTCTTGAATATATATGGATAAATGAGATAAATATCTATATATACAAAAATATTTACAAATTTTCCTATTTTTAGCTTCGTGAAGTTGTTCAAAGCAAGTCACACCTTTTTGATGGAAGCACAAACCAATTACAATTTAAAATAATTAACTACGATTAATATCAACAATAAAGAAAAATAAGCCTATAATATATACATACACGAAAAATTATCTACACAATTATTGAAAATAAACGGGAATGAGACTAAAAAGCGACAGCAAAAAATTCGCGCAGGTCTAAGTAAAGATGAGTCAAGCTACTAATAAAATTTCCGCCTAGAAACTAAAAGAAACTAAAAGTTTCCCAAAAAATTCAAGATTCCAGTATTAGGGCTTTCATAACGCAAAACACACCTCACCCCTCAATACTGCTTTGTTTGAATTCATTCCCCCCCAAAACAACGGAAACAGAAAACGTAAACAACGGATGTTCTCTCCTAAGCACAGATGTTCTGATTTGTAACAGCATGAGATCGCTAAAGGTGCAGTGTTCCCGCTAATGGAACACCCAGTTTTATTCAATGATTCTGCGTATGGTTTTTGTATGAAAGATTAAAAAAATATAGAACAAATAATTTGGAGTACAGCCAGCAAAATTATGCCTATTTTTTTTTTCAAATAAAATTTTTTATATCATTAAAAAAATAGAGAAAATTACTTGAAAAAGTGGATTTTAATAACACATCATAAATGAAAATTCTGTGTCTCCTTGTGATATGCTGCTATCTACTGTTTAAAAAGAAAAGTTCAAAGTATATTATAAAGGCATTTTTATCTATTTACGGTTGAACTCATAGATTTCAGAAGCTATTCAATTTGGGTGTTCCATGTAGTGGAACACTGAGCCGCAAAGGGTTAAAGGAAAATTTTTATATCTTTATCTATTATACTTTAGTAAATATGTTGCATATTATGGCATTTATAATTTCATCTAAATTTTATTTATTAATGCATATCATTGAGGTGACATGTTGTTTTATTTAAAAAGGAAACTTATTTCAATTTCCTTTTACAACCTTATGCATGTTGATGTATGCATCATTTAAAGCATAATTACTTTTATTTAAATGTAATGACTTTTTAGAAATTGATCGATTCAGGAGCAATTGTTAACAAGCCAGACTATTTTGGTTGCACTCCTCTTCACAAATCCTCTTACCATGGAAGAGCTACTCTCACTGCAGTTCTAATTAATGCAGGTACTTCTGATTTTTGCATGGACCATTTAATTTTATGTGGGATGTGTGAAATCTGAATGTTATTGTGGTATAATATTAAGCATTGGAATTTTGTTGTTTTATCATAAATTATTATGTTTGTAATCATGGAAATTGTTATGTGTCCATATGTAGAAAACAGACTTGGAAATATTTTACAATAATATAACTATTCCATTAATTTTTATTGTGTAAGTTTTTCATATTTTGAGGAAGCCAATGTAATAGCTAACAGTTTGCTTTTAACCAATGTTATTAAAATCTGATAGCTGTAAAAAATATGTAATTTAATAGAAAGCGGTGGCATAAAATTATTGGAATATTATATTCTGCAATAACATAGAATTGTTGTACATTTTCAAACACTTCATTTTATGTAAGTAATTTTGCAAGGCCTAATTATTGAATAAAATATATTGTGAATAGATTAATTTATGTTTAGGCTCTAAATGCTCTACTTTGTGAAATAGAATTCACATATCATTCCATAATAACATAGATCTTACTTTTGAAACATTTTATAATTTTTTAGCACTACAATAAGTGTTTGAGTAAATCTTAAATATAAAATAAAATCATGAAAGTCTGAGTATATTAATTTATGAAAAATTCTAAATGCCTTGCTTTGCAGAACAGAATTCATTGCGTGAAATTGTATAAAATAGTGTGCAAAAAACTGTCATTAAATATTCAATATACTAAATATTGTATGTTCCTCACCAGGGAAAAGTGAGGCATTTTTGTATGTTTGTTTATTGTGAATTAGGAAATGAAATTGAATTTCCTGAGAGAAGGGTTTATATCCCAGTTTTAAAACATGCAACTATAAAAATTAACCATAAACTCTTGCAGATCAGAGAGTCAGGATTTAAATGGTTTCTTAAAACAACACTAACTGAAAAAACAAATACTCAGGGTTATTCTGAACTAATTAACAAAACTGTAAAAGAAGGCAGAGGCGACTGAAATAAGCAGATTTTGTAATTGAACATATGTAATGAAATGGTACATGTAAAAAATGAAATAAAGATTTTATTGATTCAGATTTTCACTACAGGTACCTGATATTGTGACTGACTACAGTAATACAAGATTTACGTCAGAGGCGCATGGCTTAGCGTATAATAGCATTTACAGCAGTAATTAACGTTCTGGCTACTAGATCTTATTTGGACTCAGTTTTTGTTTGTCTGAAATGGCCAACATTAAATATGTTGGTGAGCGTAGGTCTAATGGTAGACTGACTAAATGTGTCTTAAAAAACTGTCATGATGTCTGAAATTGGATTTCATGAAATAGTTCATTAATTTCTCTGAAGAACTCTTCCCCATTAACTCTCCTTGAATGTTTTTAAGAGCTCATATGGGTTTTCCAATCTCTATTTCCTTTATCACATATTGAAACATGTACCCTTTAAGCAAGCATGTGCAATAAATCTTTCCCATTCTGCATGACCATGATGAAGATGTGCATACTTTAGTTTGTCTATAAATTGGCACATCCTTTACAACATTTATGCTATTTGAAAATTTCTTAAAGAGAAGAGAAATAATTTGTAACTTATTGTATTGGCATGTCTAATGCAAAGCATATCATTAAAAATAAATATTTTAATTCTTAACATTCTACTCACTCAGGATGCTGATTTGATGCAACCTGCATTTATTACAGTTAAAAAATAACAGGCAGGTTTTAAATCACTTAGGATTACAAAACTAATGTTTTAGAACAGAAATTGTATAAAAAATACAGCAATAAATAATTCAGAACCAAGACAATCATGTGGCCACAAGTGAAGATTTTTAATCTAAGGATTCCTTAATAAAACAATTGATATATAGCTTTACCTAAAGCAAAAGTATGTTATGGATTTTGCTTCCCACTGTTTGAAAGCCAGCAGTGTTTTAAAATTTCATCTACCAGGCTGTCTGTGAAAAATAATTTGGGAAATTATCCGTGTTCTGTGATACATGAAGTAACTTATGGTTCTGATTACTCATGGACATTCTGAAAATAACTCTTTCTGCAATTTCTTCACTTTCCATTATAATGTGCAATTTATTTTTATCCATTCGTTTTCTTTCTGAATAATACCAATTCTGTCTTTTTGTACTATGATTTCACTCACTGTTGTATTCAGAATCATAATCACTTGCATTATCATTCAATAAATTGTCTTTGATAGTTCAAAATCAAAATTTTCTTCACTTTCATGCTAAATTCTCATCATGGTTATTTCCCCATGATTTCTTTATCCATTTTTTTAACTGGTTAAAATAAAACCAATAATAATTTGATTTTTATCTTAATGTGACATTGTAAGTACATATTCACACTATTCATACATTCAATAAAATTGATTTTTTTGTTTGCATTATTACTTCATCTGAAAGTGTCCATTTAGCAAAGCGGATAATATAATTTGGAAGGACACAACATTTGTCTCCACAATAGAACAGCAGAGTCCGAAGGGTTACAATTCTTTACAAAGGGTTAAAATTCTGTAGATACAATTTCCAGGCATTCATATTGATTCTGAAAATTCCTCCAGGACATGGATTTAATCTTTTAAATAGAGGACATGTCCAGAAAAAATAGGACATTCGGTAACCACATCTAATTTTGTAGCTGATTGGGCAAAACTGATTCATTTCAAAGAAAGAGCCACAAATATATCCAAAAATACATTTGAATTTTAATGCAACAATATGTTTGCTAGCTGGTGCAGTTAATGCACAGCGAATCGGAAATATTATGTATCAGTACTTGGAAACTTTCTGTTACTCCCTTATTATTGTAGCTTGCATTTTTAAATGATGCCAAGATTTTTTACCAAATCTTAATTAAGAAAAGTTAAGACAGGTTTGCTTCTTACAAATATGTTTATTTCGTGCATAAGTTTGTGGCTGCTATATTTCTGTGATTGGTTTTAATAGAGTGTTAAAAGTATTTTTTTATCTCAAGAACTTCTGCTTTGTATCCCATAAACTTACAACTTTAAACCTACTAACTCTTCTATTTGTGGAATTCATGAAAGCAACAACCCAACTCAGAACTCTTGTGGTGAGTGAACTACGTGAACCAGGCTTAGGACTGCAAGTTGTTTGGTGATCGATTGAAATATAACTGGACAGTCTTTAAATAACAGAAGTCTTAATGATGTCCAAATTTCTTGTTTAATGATATGAAAAGTTAAAACTTCAGAAGCTTTAACTGAAATTTCAATCATTTGTTATTATCACTTGGCAGGTGATTTTATGAAAGAGAAAGCACATGAGGGCTGCAATAATAATTGCTTAAATTTTGTGAGCACATTGCAGATCAAATTTTAAATTATGCTTAAATTATTTAATTATGCTTTAAATCATTTGGCCCTGAAGCATATATTTGAGATTGTTTCAATATAATAATTGTTTTAGAATTATGAAAATTAAAAAAATAAAGTAAGTACAATTTTTCAGCATTGAAAAATAGTTTTGGAAAATAATCTTTTTTATCCTTTTGAAATTTTTCTTAATATGGTACCACATTTAAATATCCCTCTTATAAAATGGAGGGCATAATATATGGTGCTGTATATGCAGATGTCAAAAAATAATTCATGTTAACATTTTAGGTGCAGAAGTAAAACTTTATGATCACAACTTGAATACTCCTCTTCAAGTATGTACTCAGAGTTCAGTTGTTCATAATAATGTTGATACAGCGCGGGTTTTGATAGAAGCAGGAGCAGATGTGAATGCACCTAATCGTTTTGGAAAAATAGCTCTTCATTATGCGGCAATTTGGGGCTTAGGAGAAATGACTGATGTTTTGATAAAGGTTTGTAAAGCTTATATGTGACAATGTATTTCACAAGATGCAAACTTATAAAAAATGTATTTTACAATGATATTTTTTGTAATTACCACTCCTCTGAATTTCAATGGCACCATGTATTAATCAATATGACAAATATATTGCAAGATACACTGGTTTCCAAAAGTTAATCAACAAATGAGAAAATGATGATAATTCAAAGTGTGTGCTAGCAAATTGGATGAAATTTTGTGCTAATATTTATTATACTAGTTGTAATTTTAAAACACTAGAAAATGTTATACATAATATTTACATTCTGTGACATCAGGAGGAACATAAAATCTCCAAAAGACATACAAATTAAATACAAAAAAATTCTCATGAGTAAGTATGACTAACCCAAACAGCAGTACAGTAATGTCTCATGCCATTTGTGATGTTGTCAGTGAACTGTATTGGTAGCAGTTTTCATTGATCACATGAAATAGTTCTAAGCTCATCTATTGTTTGGGGAGGGGATTGGAGACCAGCAGCTTGCCTCTGGAGAGCATTCCACAAGTGCTCAATAGGCTTAAGGTTGGAAGAGCATTTAGTTTTTTTTTTTCAGGATATTGGTGCATAAGGTGAGCAGTGTAAAAACAGGGATTATCTGCTTGCAAAATGAAGGTATTATCATTTGTTGCAGCATATGAGCGAATCATAGGATCCAGTATGTTGTCTCTGTACCTCTGAGCATTGAGAATTTCATATGGCAGCACATATAGGTTTAATATCCTTCCAGTCGAGAACATTCATAAGTATCACTTTCCCATATGATAGATGGAAAATGTCAAGTTTTTGCTTCTCTCGATATGTAAACGTATTCATAATCACTGTGTAAAGCAAAACAATTCATGCAGCCTTCTGCATACTGTTGTGGCTGATACTGTCTTGTAGCAGAAACAAGCATGGATTTAAGCTGAGATGTGAGCTGCAGTCCTGTTGCAACATGCACTAAATCACAAATACCAGTTATCTGCAGTAGTAGTAACTCTTGAGTCATTGAAGTGGTGAATCCAGTAAAATTGGTTCCTCAAATAGCTTAGGATGGAACAATCCACATTTGTCCATCTTGCGATGTCACACTGCTCATGTCATGTGTAGCATTAGCAAAAGAGGGGCATTACCATTGCTTTACGTAAAAATAATACTCTATAAAACCAGCCATTTAGGAAGGAATCCCTATTCAATGAATGATAGTATACTAAACTTTTGAGGTAGCCAAAGCATAAAAATGTGTTTCAGGTGATATTTGACATATATATGCAGATATAATGCTGATTTTTGTTGTTTGACTTCTAAATAAATATTATGGTATATTGTTGAGGCTTAGGGTAAGTGCTACATTGTTTCAAATGTTGGGCATATTGTTCCCTTTCTTTTAGTGCTGAAAGTGCTGCTAGTCTTGACCATCACTTTTTTTGTCTGTACCACTTTTTAATGTGTTGACATGAAATGTTATTACCCGGTATTATTTCTAAAGAAATTAAATAATGAAGAATCTGTATGTATGTATATATGTTCCTTGTAGGTAAATTTGGCACCTAGAGCCACCAGACTTTGTATGTACATAGTCCTCTACCCAAACATGTGCATTTTGAAACCCTAATTTTAAATTTTGAACTTTTTTCTTATTTATTTTGTACATTGTGCAAATTTAATGAATTTTTGATTCATAAATTTGTGACTTGAAAGCGAGAAGTGGCAACATTGTTTGAAATAAAAGTTTTATTTTCAGCATGTTAGAATGTTACCATTCAGCAAAATGTAAGATTTTCGATTTTAATCAACTGGCTTGGATGTTTGAAAGTAATATGTTACCACTGCCAGAAATAAAATACTAGTCAATCATTGGTTTATGTTAAATTGGTGAAAATTTGGTGATCAATTAAATGTATGCTACCAAATTTTTTTATAGGTTTTTTCTTTCTGTTTTGAATCTCAGTCACATTACGTTTCTGATAGAATTTTACCTTTTTTATTTTTTCTAAGTATTTCAGCTCAGCAAAAATGACTTTACCTTTGAAAGGCAGTCAAAAATATGTCCAAACAGGTTTCAAAATGTATATAACCTGAAATTCTGAATGAAATTTCTGTTGAAGTAGCACAGTAGATATGTATAGAAATCTGTTTTCTCCAAGATAAATTTATATACATACAGTTTAAATAAAGTCTAGCATAGAAGAATTATGAATGAAAATGCAGCAAAATTATGGAGAATGTTTGAAATTGCAGGAAAAAAACATATATAAATATGCATAATCACTAAAATAATTATTTTTCATATAATTATCCATTTTTATCATGCATGTATCTGTTTTCAAGGATGAAATGTTTATGTACGTGTAATGTAATTAAACAAATTTTAAAAGAAATTACAAAATACTCTAAAGTATATAGTATAGTGCACAGCAAAATACTTACTTATCATTGATAAAAATTATTTGAAAATATGTAGCTTTGTTACTCAAAACATAAAATTTGGGCTGAGACGCTGTATAATCCAGCAATCTTTATACCATAAAAACTATCATGTACTCACCTATTACATATTCCAAACATCAACCAAAATACTTTTAAATATTTGCATATACCATTCAATAAAGCCTAAGATATTTAACTCTCAAATTTAATTTGAAAGGTTGCCAAGTAACAGAAAAGAAACAAACACTGTTCTTAAAAATATTTTTTCTGCTTTGAATATGTTTAATTTAAATCAAACTCTGTCAAAGTCATGAGATGTATAAAAATACTGAATATTTTTGAAGTGACATTAACTGGTCTCGTTAAAATGACTGTATACTTTTTTTATGATAACTATTTTATGTTGCTGGCCCCATAGGTAGATGTTCTCAAAGAAACAATGCAGCTATTTAAATATATACATATATATATATAATAATAATTTATTTCCTAAACAGTATTGATTAATTGATTATATTATCTCCTAAGTTTAATTAAAGTAGAATTATTTTAAAAGTGTGAATCCATACTGGTAAGTTATATTTTGAAAGATGTTTTGAAGTAATTTGAAAGCAAAATGTTAATAATGTTTTAACGGGGACTGGAGTTAAATCATCATGAAGAATAAAATTTCAATTGTAAAAGGGAAAATTAAAACATGTAATCATTGTCATTGATCGGAAATTAGTTGACTTTTCAAGGGGAACAAACCAACTCCCGTTCAATGAACAATAATTGATAAAAATACGTAAATACGAAAGTGTTTCATCTTTACTCGAGTTATAAGTTAAAGCCAAACCGGCAATTCTAGTCAGGCCAAATATTTCCGCGAATAGAAGGAATTATGAACCAATGCTGATACTCAAAGAACTTATTCTTATGAAGCATTTTAGTCAATTCAATTTGGAGTAAAAATCAATTACTGTAGAGAAATCCTATTTAACTCGAGTAACCGTCCCCGACACTTTCATGTTTATGCATTTGAGTACTATATTATTCGTAGAAATTAAACATTGGAAATTGTCATTATGAAATCGAATTCAAAGTAAAGTTGAAATAAACATAGAAGATTACAAAATAAGATAAATAATGCAAACTTTGTAAAAACAAATCAAAGACAATATAAAAATAATATAAAAATAATATAGAAAATAATATAAATAAGATCAGTGAATGTACATGAAGATATAAAGGCCAGAAAAGGTATTAAGTAACTTACATTCTTTCTAGTGGGGGAGTTGGCAAAGTGTTCTCTTCGTGTCTGACTCATAAGTGTAGGGTGTCCGAAAATTCTTAGCAGCAGTAGGGGCTTTGAATAATATCAATCGGTAAGACTTAGGTGAAGTAATTTATGGTAGTGGGTGGGACTTGGAATTCTTGAGGGATGTATTTTGTGGAGTTCTTATCTGAGTGAGACTTACAAATAACGTCAACCTGTCTGTTAAGCAGCATTTAACATTCTATCTTGAATTCTAAAGATATTCTGTTTTAAAATATGTTCTGATTTTGCTGTTAAATTTTATGCATTGTAATTGCAAAGAGTGTAATATTTATTAAGTAAAGTTAAAAACAAAAGGATAATAAAATTTAAAAAAGAAAAAAAGTTCTCTAAGTAATTTTACTAAGAAAACTGAACATTGATATGATAAACTTAAAAAAGACTGAAAAAAAATAGAAAATTGTATGCCAGTGCGTAACACTGTATCAAGAATTCAAAACATGTGCTGCTTTTAAAATTCTGTGATTTTGGTATTGAATAGTTTGTGATGTAAGTGCAAAGAAAGGGGTTATTAAAAATAAAGTTGAAAAGATTTCTTGGTAAACTGCGAGCTTAGCGAAAGCATAAAAAATCTTAACATACTTAAGCTTTGGTGCAACACTAAGATCTGAATCCTTTCAGATCTTTCATGCGATCTTATGTAACCCTTAATGCAGATGCCTCTTGACCAATCACCGAATTGTAAACCAAAACTAAAAAACTGAAACTTTTCACTCCTTCCCTTTTTTCTATGAACTCATGCATCACTTTCTCTTAAGCTTTCCTCGTGGCCAGACACTTTGCGGCAACCTTCTTTGTTCAGTGAATATGTGCTGATGTAACAAAAATGGAGAGTGCATAAGACGCTCGTCCGTATGTGAACCAACTATGTGTGAATTGTGACTTGCTTTCCTCAATAATAGTTATCTTGAATCCGGACATGTTTGCCAAGTTTCTTCGCTGCTCATGTATTACGCCACCGCCAAACTCCAAATCATTCCTTTTGTATCATTACATCTAGCCTGCTGCCTAGAACTCAAGTGGGAAAAGTATCTGCAAGTTCATCATTCTTAAAGTTAGATATCATCGAGTATCCAAATATGGTGCTTACTTCATTTTGCAAATTCTTCAGAAAAAGTGCATGGAACTAACTCCCAATGCTGTGCTTTCAAAATTTGTGCTTTCATTGCATATATATATATATATATAAATTATAAAATAAATAAATTTATACTAAAAGCATAGTAAATAAAAAGTTTCT